ATTTCTCTTGATTTTAGTTCAATACTACTTTTTTGCCAAGTGTTTATTTACCTATTCATGAAATAGCCCGTGTTTGTTGCCCATGTTTAATTTTACTTAGACAGGTAACCCCATTAAACAGGTAGTCTCATTTACAAGAGTGCAGCAATGTATTTACTTTGCATTCATAATAAAATCACCAATTTATATATTTATTCAAATACAAATAAATGTCTTCTTGTATTTTCTTTTTCTTGGTGTTTCCGTAGTGCCATTTCCTTTTAACTTATATAAGCACAACATATACCATGCACATTCCTTTTTTTTATTATGTAAATGAAAAAGACTACGTTCAAAGTTCAAAGTGGAAGAAGTGCACCACATTACAAGTGACCAAACTGAATAGTCACAAGACGCATCCAGAAAAACAAGTATTTTTTATTTGTGTATAAACCAAGAAACTGAACAGTAATAAATGGAAAAATGAGGAAAAAGAGATTAACTGGGTTCAACATCCAATCATACTCACTTTTACAGTTATAGGTGTACTTCTTATTTTCTTGACTTTTATATTTCTTCAAGCATTTATTTCTAATGTCTTTTCTTACATTCTTTGAGGTGGAGTTTTTACAAAGTGATGAATCTACATTCTCATTTATGTCGTTATTCTGTTTTACAAAATAAAAAGTTAGCTCACTATAATTTAATCAGTCATTAATAATCACTCCTAAAGTCTAGTTATTTTTGTTTACTTTTGTCTTTGTTTATGCCATTGGGGTTTTGACACTTCTCAGTTTTCAATTGAGTGTTTTTTGTTTGTTTTTTAGCGGAAGTGCTTTTATTCTGTCCCCATTTTGTTGCCAAAATACATATTAAATATGCAGTTCCTAAAATAACTACATGACTACATGATCTGTAAAAAAGATGCATATTTTACCTTTGATCTGGTTTGACTACATAAAACATATATAGCTACAAAGTATTTTGTTGTCTACTTTGACATATCTGATTTGACTGAATAAGTGATTAACAGTCTTCTGAAAACCTGAAGATATGCTGAAGAACAGGAAACTAACTATAATTAAAACATACAGGATAGGCCTCAAGGACCATGACTGTGCATCATCTACCTTTGCTCAGCAGTTCCTCGGTCGATGTTTAGACGTAACATGCTTCCAATGATTCTATCGCCACAGGTATCACATCTGCACTAGATTATTTCCATGACCTTGTCCCAAACACAGCCATGCCCAGACATGAGCTAGGGTTGGGCGATATTGGCAAAAAAATTAATCACGATTAATTGTGGTATTTAGCTGATAACGATTAATTTGACGATTAATCCCCTGGAGTCCTTGGACACCCTTATGTCCTGGTCACATGACTAATTTAGTTGGAAAGATTTGCTCTTCATAAAAATCTGTTCCAAACTGTCAAAATTACAGACAGGCTATACGTTCGGGCTATACATCAAATTTTAAATTGTGTTGCTAGATAAATAAATTTCAGAATGTATTTTTTTTATGTTCGTTATATTTGAAGCGGAGAGGAGCACCGAGTGGACTGACCGGGGAAATATCTAGTCAATCTGCCTGGTGACATTAATCATATTAATTGTCAAGTGCCAAAAAATAATCGATTAATGTTTTTCTGACGATTAATTGCACACGATGAGATTATGCCCAACCCTAACATGAGCCCAGCTGATGCTGCCATCCAGCTGTACTCGGAGGACGGAATTTCGGACTTTCAAGTCGGAAATAACTGGAACTGCCCCTAATGTCGTAATTCCGAGTCCAAAATTTGGTGCAACACAACCATACCTGAGCATGCGTGACGTCATCATTTTAACATGGCTGCTCCTCGCATCCTTAGTGTTTTTTTTTTTTCGTTTTTAGTAGCTCTGTGCAGTTTACTTTACATTAAAACAGTTGTACTAGCGATTGTTAGGCGATACTGTTTAAACACTCAAAATGTAGCGTAGAGTGGGGCGTAACAATACATTGATCCATATCGATATATCGATTAAATGGTTACTGATTCAATTATATCAAGGCTATGTGAAAATATGGATCTATCGTCATCATAAGCTCAATGTGAATCGATATCATATGCCCAACTAACAGTTATTGTGTTAGATGGGCATATGAGATCGCATCATATCGATCGCAGACTTGTGAATTGAATCGAGTTGAAATCGTATTGTGATAGACTTTGTGATATCAAGAAATATCAAATCATCATTCAAACAAATCAATATAAAATAAAGCTAGTGATTTTGTGGATGCGTATGTGTGAAACTTTTTTTTATTTCACACTAAAAAGGGAAGTTGTGAAAGTCTTCACACTTGGGTGCAGGCAGAGATGCTACTTCGCTCAAAAACTCACCAATATTCACCAATATTATTAATAGCTACTGATTTAGGGGTGGCTGTGGTTGAGTGGTTAGGGGAGTCGTCCTGGAACCGGAAGATCGCTAGTTCGATCCCCGTCCAGTCGACTCAGTTGTTGTGTACTTGGGCAAGACACTTCACCCGCCTTGCCTACTGATGGTGGTCAGAGGGTTCGGTGGCGCCTGTGTATGGCAGCCTCGCCTCTTTGTCAGTGCGCCCCAGGGCAGCTGTGGCTACAATTGTAGTTTGCCATCATCAGTGTGTGAATGTGTGTGTGCATGGGGCAATGTCTGCAGTGTGAAGCGCTTTGAGTGCCCTGGATGGATAGAAAGGTGCTATATAAGTACAGTCCATTTACCATTTACCATGTACACCCCTCGATTTACACACCTGTTCTGGCAAGCTGGAAACAAACACTTTCAACTCTGAACTGACGTCAGTCTGACTTTACATTTTTGAGTTCCACAGCAACTGGAACACACCATCAATCCTCCCTTAAATTCTCAATGACCAATAAATGCCAGAGTGCACAGCATCACGGGTACGCTGCCACTACACTTCCCTAACACAGTGGTTCCCAATCCTGGTCCTCAAGTACCCGTATCCAACATGTTTTACTTGTAAAATAGTTTCCCTGCTATTCAACAGGTCTTCAGAAGATTGTTCATCACTTATTCAAATCAGGTGTGTCAAATCAGGGAAACATCTAAAAATCACTGCTTTAAATGTTGACCAACAACTCAAGAGCTTCTCTGAGCTTGATGAGACATTTTCAAAATATAATATCGACTCAGTTTTATGTTTTTTTGTATTATATGTATAACATGTATTAAAGCAGTGATTCTCAACCCTAGTCCTCAAGGACGCCTTTCCTGCATGTTTAGATGTTTCTCAGATCTGACACATCTGGTTTGAATGAATGAATGATTAAAAATCTCCTGAAGACCTGCTGAATAACAGAGAAACAAGTAAAACATGCTAGATAGGGGTGCTTGAAGACCAGGATTGGGAACCACTCCATCCAGAACTCAAATACAATTTCTCCAAACTAGGGTTGGGCGATATTGGGAAAAAAATTAATCACGATTAATTGTGGTATTTAGCCGATAACGATTAATTTGACGATAAATCCCCTGGAGTTTGTCCTAGTCACATGACCAATTTAGTGGGAAAGATTTGCTCTTTGTAAAAATCTTTTTCAACCTGTGTCAAAATCACAGACCTCAGGCTGTACATCAAATTTTAAATTGTGTTGATAAATGACAGAACTTGTTTAAATATTCGTCATATTTGAAGCGGAGAGGAGCACCAAGCGGACTGACCAGGGAATTCTCCAGTCAGTCTGCCTGGTGGAATTAATAACTCCTATAACCCTCCAGATCGTATTTAATAAAGAGCCCATTGCATTCTTAATATAAACCTGAAGATCCAGTAAAAACCATCTTCATTCTGGTTGATTTTAGCACCTTTCTTAGTTTTTCTTCAGTTCTATATGTCAAAATAAAAATGGGACATCGAACCGACCACACAGTTTTGATTCTAAGTTAAAGTAGCTTCCTCTTCTAACATCACAGACAGCGAGTGTGATTCTGATGCAATATTGTGTACTCACTCCTCTTTGACACACTCTGAAAGACATTAACCCATCAATAAACAGAATAATGCTAACAACAAAGTAATACACAGTCATATACTTTTTAAAAAGGGGGAGAAATTGTAGGAAACTGGCATAAATAATAGCTTATATTAAAACAGTAACAACGATCTAAACAAAAAGGATTGAGCAAAACAATCAAAACATTTGTATTTTTAAAAGTATTCCTAAATTTGTCAGCTTAATTTTCCACATAAAACAAATGCATTTAGGCAGGACAGATCATATGAATAAACCACCTTAGTTAAATGCCCCCAAACACCAATTAATTAACTGAGAATATTGGTGATTTTTTTTTTCTTTTTAGCAAAGTAGCATTTCTGCCTGCACCCAAGTGTGAAGAGATTCACAACTTCCCTTTTTAGTGTGAAATAAAAAAGTTTCACACATTCGCGTCCACAAGTGTGTAATGATGGTTCTCAACTTCTRACTGTATGTTTGCAGATGTTTGGAGTAAACCAGCAGAGACATGCTGAACTTTGCAGTGCATGATAGTATTACAGACTCRGGAAAATACACTACTTGTAAATAAAGTCCCCATGCTGCTGTGAATAAAAGAACACAAACATTTCCTCCAACCAGGCCAGCAGAAACGCGGCAGCGAGTTTCCATAACTTCCCGAGACACGACTGAAAACTTACAATCACTTTTCAAGTCATCGCCCAAGTTAGCAAAGTAGTGCCAGTTAGCCTGCTAGCTGTTAGCTTCCCAAACCCATCACACACTATTTCTCCTGAACCGAACCTAACTTTGCCCTACTTGTTACATGAACACACATGAAACAAGACATTCGTTTCGGAGATAGACGAATACTTCGATGAAAGAAGAAAAAAATCCCGAGGCGGACTTGTTGTCGCTGTTACCATGAATGAGGAAAAGGAGTAGCTCAAAACCCACGAAACGAGCTTTAGCCAAATAAGCAAAGAAAAAAAGTATCAGCAGACACAAGTTTAAACACGGACAAAACTACATACCCGACGTCAGCCCTTGTTGTACAGTAACTTCTACTGTGCCTTAAAGTTCAGGTGTGTTCCAGATAATACCAAAAAAAAGCTGTAACTCTCTTTCAAACACTGACCACTGTGTCCGAGGACACCGACAGCAGCTGGAAACTCCGGAGAGTGGAGATTAACAACATGGCAGCGTCGTGGTGCGTTCACGGATCACCGGACGGCTGGTAAATATCAAAGTAACCACAAAGTAACCACAAAATAATGTGTATGTGCTGCATGTGACTCCACTAATATAATTAACGTCGTTTTGGGAATTTATAGTAATAGTAGCAAATGTTTAGGTTTTACTTTAATTTGACTACTCAAACAGTAAATGGTTAATCCAATGTGCAGTGAATGCAACACGAATAGGACTATGAGCCTTTTGGGAGGAGATAGCCTGGGGTTCAGGACAGTAAACAAGACAGGACTTGCTATAAGCAAGAATGCACTGATACTAAAGTTATTAAAACCAGACATTAGAAAAGATTCCACAACGCCCCAAACAAACAGGATTTTTTTTTCCATGTCTAAGTGCCAGAGGCAGCAAAACAAAACCCTGTTGGTGCTGCCCATCAGGATCCAGGATCAATCAAGTCCAACATTTTTAGGAAGCAGACATGGATTTCAACTCAGCTTCTCCCCCTTTAGAGACTGAAAGTGTTTGCACTTTGTTCCATGACTTATTTAAAAGGTAATTCAAGCACAAAACATTTTTTCAGAAGTATTAAACATCACGTCTTCTGTCAACAGATACAATCTGAAAGATTTTGAGAAGTATTTTTGCCATAAACTTTGCAGTGTGAGTGGTAAATTTATGAAAACATATATGTAAATAATAAAAAAAAGGCAATTATTTGCCTTAAAATTTCTTTTGGTTTTGTTCTCAAAGATAAAAATCAATCAGACAAGTTTTTTTTATTTTTTAGAAGCAAAATGTTCTTGAATGTAGAAATATTCTAAAAACTGAAAATAAAGTAATTGTTGACAGTGTACAATTTATATCCTCAGCGGAACATTAAGTTSATTGTTCCCTCTGTAACATTCGATTAAAAAAAAGAAGTTAAACATCAGAGCAGCCACATATTTTAGTGTGTTTTGTTTCTTTCCTCATCGGTCCATTGATAAATCCAAAAAGAGGCCATATAATTAGTCTCTTACATCATTAAAGCTCTTACTGAGACACTGAGAGGAATCCAATTAGGTGTCTGTGCTTATAGAAACACTAATCACCTCTTAGAKAAGCACTGTTACTTCACAGTCATCCTGGCTGGAATAGATAGTGTAATTTGCAGATTAATTAGAGACATATTTTACGCTGTTAAATWGTCAACGAGCTGATAGGCTGAAGAGTGCTGTGATGTCACTCAAGACTGGATTTAAAAGCAAAAGTGTTTAATCTGATTTGACCGAGTAAAAAAAAAATCTGTTAAAAATGTAGTTGTGGTTTGGTTTTGCCAATAGCTGAGTCTTACTGACAACGCTCTAGCATTAGATTGCACATAAGGTTGTTGACCAAAACAGCTGCAATGCCTTCATTCTCCAAAATAAGATAATTTCAGCCTAAAACGCTGGCATGAAAGGTGATGGGTGATATGCATTCTCTCAAGGAAAGCTAAGCCTTTAAACACAAATTAACTTTTTTTTTCTTCTTTCTCCTGTTGAATTAACATTCATTTTTTTCTGGCTTTTATAAATGTACCACGAATYAAAAATATAAGACAAAAGACAACAAGAACTGACTCATTTTTCTAACATGATTTCCCAAGGTTCTTCGATTAGTGCAAARCTGAGAACATCCACCTGAAAAGACYGAGTTCATTTTAAACACACTTGGCATTTTAGGCGTCACCTGGGAGAAAAGCTTTCAATTTACCTCTCTGCATCCGGCTGTTTGAGAGGCAGTTTACAAATTCTCCATCGTCGCTCCTTCTCCTGCTGGGTGAAAAATGTGACCCTTGGTTCACCTCCAGCCRGCTGAAAAATGGCTTTTTGAACACAGCAAATTCCATGAATCTGTAATGAAGTGAGTAAACGCTGCTGCTCATGAATCTCTGATCAAAAGTTTGATCCAAATTGTCCGAAGGAAAAACTCGCTATTTAAAAATCAGCAGGGTGCTTTAGCTTCGAAAGTGAATTTCTARGATGTTTTAAAAATAATAATATTACATTTTCAAGTTGCTTCTCAGCTTCAACCAAAGATGTACTTATTTCCCCCACTTACATTATCAGGAKGAGTTCATTTTAAGGCCTTCAAACATAATTTTGTTTTTTGGTTTCCCAGGATGATGCAGTAACAGGTGCAAGCCTTTAAACCACCACCTCGCAGCATGTGAATATCAGAGTTACAAAGGCAGAGCAGAACATACACTGCGGGGATTCCACTATTACACTAATCCATCGCAAAAGCTGTTTTTTCCCCCATGGTGTGTCCACACATTTCACACAATTCTGTGGTTTCCCCTTTTTTCTGACAGCACCAGCAGGATCCAATGATGCCAGAAGTGGAGGTAAGGTGAACGGGCAACGCTACAAAATGACATTGCAGTGAMAGATAACTGAGAAAATGGAAGATTTGAACTGAATTAACTGAAGCCTCAATGAGAAGACAAAATAACATAGTTGAAGATAGTTTTTTTTTGATAGTTTTACCTCTAATTAAATCTTTGCTTATGTTCAGAGCCGGCTCTTGGCATAGGCGAACTAGGCGGTCACCTAGAGCGCCATCTGCTGGAGGGGGCGCCAAACTGCAGAAGAATAAAGTAATTATTTGTAATCCCTGGTTGTAACTCTGCTAAGCGCCACTTTCAATTAGCTTTGTCTTAAAAAACTATAATGAGGTATTACAGGAAAAATAAACTACTCTACCCATAAAACATTTTCTCCCCCCAATGCAGCAAACGCCCCCATCCTCTCTCTCATTTGATTGACGTTGCACTGACCCGTCCTGCTCCGACACTCTGACGGGGGAGGGGCTAGTAGTGCCTCGCAGGTAGCAGTTTGTGTTGACAAACTCAATAACAAGTCTGTATTTTGTGTCCCAAACATGTCAACCTCTTCGGACGTTTACCTGGATAAAAAAAATCCATAAATTTTGCAAAAAATCCATACAACTCGTACCCGGGCTGGGGGTGGGGGGGTGTCAGCCTCGCTTACGGACAATCCATACAAATTGACATGCATGTTGTTATTTATTTGCTTTCTGGGAAAGCAAATAAATCTAAGTTTACCATAGTACCTTACACTGTCAAACTGGGGGTTGGGGGGTGCACTTCAACTCGCCTAGAGCACCAAAATGGCTAGAGCCAGCACTGCTTATGTTACACTTTGTTAATGTGGGTGATAATGTAACTGTATTGATGAGTAAAGGGCAAAGCAACTTTCACATTTTCTTTAATAATAAATATGGAAGTTGCTTTACATTTACTCAACTCACTTGAGTGGAAATAACTTGATTAAGTGTGTTTTTTGAGTGAAAAGTTTGGGGCAAAGTTAAATCTTTTGCTCACATTCAGTTTTTGTTCTTAAAATTAGTTACCTATTTTATTCGTTCATAAGCATTTATACAAAATACAGAAACAAAATAATTTGCTGTTCAGTTCAAATTAGAACAATCAAATAAAATTGTTTTATTTATTCTTTCAAGACATTTTTGTCCTCCCGTCTCCCAGATCTTAATGCTTCATTTCCACTTCCTTTTCATTGTTTCCTCCTCTGACACACTTAACTCCTAACTGTATAATTGCACAGATTTGAGAGAGTTTAAATCATTTCGGCCCGTTTACAGCCGACCCTTTCATTTGCACAAAACAGCAGGTGAAACTAAATGAAATGTCATATTTCCATATTGTTTTCTTGCACCTGATCAGGGTGGCTGACTGACGCGCTCATTAAATCATGTGACCTTTTTGCACTTGTTCCCAGCAGGAACAACTCATCGCAGCTGCCACAGAGCTTTGATAAAACATTCAAATACTTGAAGGACATTTGTGGGTTTTGTTTGTCCTGTTAGCAAAATAGGGCAGACCGGGGACAGTTGCAACACTTTCTGCATTTGACTCTGTTACTCAGAGATGGTTTGAATTAGACAAACCAAATTTTAATACAATAAACTTACATCTGTCTGTTAATAGTCAAAACCATTTATAGATGGTTAAAACTGTACTTTCTTCACAATTTGCATTTGAAAATGAAAAGTCAGATGTTGCAACTGACCCCGGGGCCAAGGTCAGTTGCAACATTGTTTGCGGGTGGTTGCAACATATTATTAATACAATATATTTAACTGTAAATGAAAGTTTTATTATTTTTATATGGATATTGCTTAATTCATTAAAACTGTAAGTTATAATGATATTACAGTGTTATTTATTTATTCTTTTTGATCAAATGACGAATATATATTTGCCTTGATGAGTAGATCTTATATACAGATGTCAAAGACTCTAATTGATATAAAATACAGATGGCTTTTAAAGACAAGAATAATAGAACAATTTGGGAGGCAATTAACTTTTGTTTTGCCTATTGTCACTGTACACTTACATTATGTAAAATTTACTTTGAAACAAACTGGGATTTTAAAACCATTGTTGAAAAACAACAACTGCAGAAAAWACATCTTAAACACTTTTGTTTTAAACTATAAAATTGTCATGAACACCCAACACCCTTTTAAGTGTAAACTTAATTTCAACATGTTAATATCATCTTTATGTGCTCTGTTTTTTTATGGATTTATCGTATGGGGATAGTTGCCCCTTCCTGTCAGCCATGATAAAACCTCATGTGTTAGCTAAAGAAGCTGATCTGGATACATGTTAACTATATTAGTTAAAAGCCAACATATCATTTGTTTAAACCACATAAGTTTGAAATGGATCACAAAAACTTTGATACCTCAAAAACAGTTTTTTTTTCAAATAAATCCTGGAGCAGTTTTTGAATCTGTTTACTTTTTCTTTACAAGATGGGGCATCTAACTGAGCATGTACAGTGTGAGTGTCATCACTCTACACTGTTTCTGTTTGGAGAAAAATGACGTGTTGCAACCGTCCCTTGTTGCTACTGTCCCCGGTCTCCCCTACATGTCATGAACCACTGAACAAATTTTAATTTAGGTCTTAAAAGTACTCAAAAGGTGCATC